ATTTTTCTTCCTTTCCTTTCCTTTCCTTTCCTTTCCTTTCCTTTCCTTTCCTTTCCTTTCCTTTCCTTTCCTTTCCCTTCCCTCCTTCCCTTCCCTTCCCTTCCCTTCCCTCCCCTACCCTCCCCTTCCCTTCCCTTCCCTTCCCTTCCCTCCTTTCCTTTCCTTTCCTTTCCTTTCGGTTCCTTTCCTTTCCTTTCCTTTCCTTTCCTTTCCTTTCCACTCCTCTCCTCTCCTCTCCTCTCCTCTCCTCCTCCCTCCCTTTCTCATCCCTGATTTATAGCTTTCTAAACTAGACCCCACCACTTTCTGGTTTGTGTCTCTTCCAATCATCCCCTTTGCCTTCTCCAGGACATTCCCAAGCTGTTGAGGGCCCTCAACAGCAGAAGATAAGGCCCACTGGACCTCAGCACCGGAAGCTGATGAGCAAAGAGCCACCTTCATTAACCCTGAATGCCGGTCACTCAATAATTCCCGAGAGGCCTTCATATCGACTCTCCAAGAGGTCCTCAGTTGGCGTTTTCCGCAGCATCTCCAGGTCAAGACCCAGCCTGGAGACGCAGAAGGTTTCAAGCCAGCCACGACATCATTCTCTCTTTCCGCTTCCCTTCCCAATCTCACCCGCCTCACTGCCAGCGTAGCTGGAGAACAGCGTGGCCAGGAGCTTCAAGGCCGACTTCTGGAAGAGGGTCACCACTGTTTCGTTGAGAGGGTCCTTATTCTTCTCCAACCACCCGTTGATGTTGTAGTCCACGGTGCCAGCGTAGTGGTTCAGGGCAAAGTGGGCCTCGGGTTTGCCCTTGGTGTTGCGGGCTTTTCCGAAGTTGGCCGATTTGCCCAGGTGGTTGTCGTAGAGCTTGGCCTTGAAGGTCATGTCGGTGGCCTTGGGGAACATGCATTCTTCTTCCAGGATGGACATGATGCCCAGAGGCTGACCCCGAAAGATGGAGAGGAAAGGGACAACAATGAGGACAGAAAGAATGGGGGGAAAAAATTAACCTTCCCGGAAGTCTAAGCAGCCTTTCTACAGGATATATATCCCAAAGGTGCTTTTTTTTTTTCTAAGAGGCAACTGGACTTTCTGAGTTTTATTTTTCTTTGAAGACATTTCACTCCTCATCCAAGAAGCTTCTTCGGCTCTATCAACCTTGGATGAGAAGGGAAGTGTCTTCAATGAAAAAAATCCAGAAGGTCCAGTTGCCTCTTGAAAAAAAAAAAAAAACCACCTTTGGGATAACCATGACCTGGATCAGGGATCACCAATCTTTTGGACCTCAGGGACCACAAAATTCATGATTTTAAATCCCGCGGACCACTAACACGATCTGCCTGATGGCCAGCTGTGTGGGCGTGGTTAGGTAGTCATGTGACTGGAGGGGTGTGTGTGTGTGTGGCCAATTCGATGTCACTCATGTTGAGGGACACCTTGCCGGCCTTTACTCGCCCCTCCCCTCCCAGCCCCTCCCCGCCTGCCTGCCCAGACCCCCAACAGGAAGCAGTGGTTGGAGCTAAACAGGCCCCAGGAGAAAGAGTTGGCAAAACAGCTGGCTCAGTTCCAATTGGATCTGGCCGGGAAGAAGGCTCGGCAGAAGCACCTCACTGAGGACTAGGAGCATAGGCTTTCCAAGCAGAGGGAAGGCCTGCGGGAGTGCAAGGCCAGGTACCGGCACCTGGAGGCTCAGCGGGCTGAGATAGTCCACCCACTGGAACGAGGCCCTCCGGATCTTCGGCACCAGTGGCGCTTCCCTCCAGCCTTCGACCAAAGCCCTGTGCCAGGAGGATGAAGCAGAACCCCAAGCCGAAATTTCTGACCCACATAAAAAGACCCCGAAGGGGGAGACTCTCTGCAATATGAATGTCCATTGCACTTATCTGGCCCTGATTTAGTACAATTATGCAAATAATTTTTCTGTGGACCACCAAAATTTTCTCACAGGCCACCCGTTGGTGACCGCTGACCCAGATGACTGAGAATCTCCGTAGACATCTGTCTACAGCAAGGGTCTTCAAACTTGGCTAACTTTTAAGACTTGTGGACTTCAACTCCCAGAATTCCTGAGCTAACGTGACCGGAGGGGGAATTCTGGGAGTTGGAAGTCCACAAGTCTTAAAAGTTAGCCGAACTTTAAGACTTGTGGACTTTAACTGGAGATCCTTGATCAAGATGCAAGTATTCCTTGAATGACCATTCTTTGTTTAGTGATGGTTCAACGTTACAACAGCACCGAAGAAAGTGACTTATAACCGTTTTTCACACTTACGACCAGGGGTGGGCTTCAAAAATTTTAGCAATTGGTTCTCTGCCTGGTTGCTGGGTGGGCGTGGCCCAGTCAGCCTCCTGCACCATGGCGGAGGGGATGTTTTTGCCTTTCCCGGGCTCCGGACGTTTTTATCGCGCCTCCGGGAGGGCAAAAATGGCCTCCCCAAAGGCTCTCAGGAGGCCGGAAACCTGGTGGCTCTGGGAGGCCCATTTTCTGCCCTTATCTCCAATCCAAAACGGGCCACATGGAGACTCCTGGGAGGGAAGGGGTGGGCGGGTCCAGCTAGGGGTGGGATTTGCTGGTTCGCCAAACTGGCCATAAAATTAGCTACCAATTAGCTAAGGGTTTGCCCGAACTGGGGCGAACTGGTAGCAGCCCGCCCCTGCTTATGACTGTTGCAGCATCCCCACCGTCATGTGATCAAACTTAGATGCTTGCAGACTTAATGGCTAGCATGACATGACCGTAAGTCATAAGTCATGGTAAGCATTGAGCTGATAATACAGGAATGCCGTATTATCGTCCAATTCTGATATTCCCAGACTAGCCAGAAGTTGCTGTCAGTGTTCCGACGATTGCCCTAATTAAATCATGAGCCCCTCCTTCTTATGGCAACTCGGAAACAGGCACAGGAATGATTTACGAGTTGACAGTTGTGAGTTCTCCAACACTGGAGGTTTTTTAAAGAAGAAATTAGACAGCCATTTGTCTGAAATAAATATAGGTATGGTGTCTCCTATTTCAGAAGGGGGTTGGACTATAAGACCTCCAAAATCCCTTCCAACTCTATTATTCCGGTTAAACCAGGACAATCACCAGATCTTCCTAGAATCTTTTGCTCTCAAGTTATCGAGGGGTTGTTATCCCGCTCCAAATAACCCAACTGTTGTTCAGAGGAGCTCATCTGAGATACGTTTTGGAGAACCAACGGTAGAAGGTTCGCCCAATTCCCCCCGCTTACCTTCTCAATGAGGTCAATGCAGGCCTGGAGGTCCATGCCGAAGTCAATGAAGACCCACTCGATGCCCTCCTTCTTGTACTCCTCTTGTTCCAGCACAAACATGTGATGGTTGAAGAACTGCTGCAGCTTCTCGTTGGTGAAGTTGATGCAGAGCTGCTCGAAGCTGTTGAACTGGGAGGGGGAGGGAGGGAGGGGGGAAAACAAAATTATGGACCACCCAAAGTCAACCCATCAATGTGGGTCACGCAGGTCCCACCCTGCTCCCTGTAGATCTCGTGGTGACGGGCTTACGTCAAAAATCTCAAATCCGGCAATGTCCAGCACACCGATGAAATACTGCCGAGGTTGCTTGGTCTCCAAAGAGTTGTTGATTCTGACGACCATCCAGCTGAACATTTTCTCATATACGGACTTGGCCAGGGCCCCGATGGAATAATACACCTGGGTGGAATGGAGAGGCCAGGGATTTGCATAGTGAAACGTTAGAATAATAGACTTGGAAAGGAACCTTGGAGGTCTTCTAGTCCAACTCCCTGCTCGACCAGGAGACCCTATTGTCAGGGTTCCGGCGATCGCCCTCATTAAATCATGAGCCTCCAGCCAAGCGTCAAAAGAATCCAAAAGATTTATTAGGAGCAACATGCCAGCATTAACCTAAATGAAACCAACCCTGGCATACGTAATTCACAGTCACCTGTGACCCTGTTTCCCCCCCCACCCCCGTGTCATAAATCAGATTCTCCAATGAAGCATGTTCACGGGCCGGGTGTCATCAATCACATTCTCCAATTAAGGATTTTCAATGCCAGAAGACCCAGTTGCCTGGTTAAAATCTTTTAAGATACGGGTGGAATGTACTTCTGGTTTACTGCTGTACTGTTCCTTCAGATTCCCCACCCCCTTGTTTATGGCAACTTGAAAACAGGCACAGGAATGTTTTATGAGTTGACACCTATATCCTTTCAGATAAATAGTTTTTATTTTATTTTATTTTATTTATTTATTTATTTGATTTGTCAATTGTTTACAAGATAATAAGTATAAGTGTATACATAGTTATGAATACATGAAATGGGTACATATAAGAAAAATAAAAAGAAACAATAGGACAGGGACGGTAGGCACGTTGGTGCGCTTATGCACGCCCCCTAGAGACCTCTTAGGAAAGGGGTGACATGGTCAATAGTAGACAGTCTAAGGTTAAAGTTTTGGGGGTTTGGGGAAGAAACTACAGAGTCAGGTAGAGTATTCCAGACATTGATCACTCTGTTGCTGAAGTCGTATTTCCTGCAATCAAGTTTGGTGCGGTTAACCTTGAGTTTGTATCTATTGTGTGCTCTTGTGTTGAAGCTGAAGTATTCATTGACAGGTAGGACATTGCAATGTATGATTTTATATACCATACTTAGATCGGACCGAAGGCAGCGTAATTCAAGGTTTTCTAGTTCTAGAATTTCAAGTCTGGTGGCATAAGGTATTCTACAACGAGTAGAGGAGTGGAGAACTCTTCTTGTGAAATATTTCTGGACTTTCTCAACTGTGCTAATATCAGATACGTAATGTGGGTTCCAGACTGATGAGCTGTATTCGAGTATTGGTCTAGCAAATGTTTTGTATGCTCTAGTTAATAGTGTAATATTACCAGAGAAAAAGCTACGTAGGATTAGGTTAACAACTCTTAATGCCTTTTTGGCTATGTAGTTACAGTTAGTTGTCCAGTCTCTTTTTGAAAGCCTCCAGTGATGGCATCCACAACTTCTGGAGACCACCTATTACAGGGGTGTCAAACTCAAGTGATTGGATCCAGTCCATGGGGCCACCCTAGAAAATGTAAGGGGGCGGCCCATGTCACTACCCAATGCAAAGAGGAAAGATCAGGCCAGTGTAGCTTTGGCCGGGTCTATCCAACACAAACAGGAAACAGAACATGCCAGCAGTTTGGGGAGTGGTGTCAAGCTGGCCATGCCCACCCAGTTAGCCACACCCACCCAGTTGGCCACACCCACCCAGTTGGCCACACTCACCCAGTCACACCCACCCAGGAGGGGGAGGAAGATTGTGGGGACCTTGGTGCTATCTCTGAGCTTGGTTGTTTTCTTGCAGACGTTTCATCACCCAACTAGGGAACATCATCAGTGCTAATTAGGTTTCAATGGGTAATGAAACATCTGCAGATAACAGCCAAGTTCAAGAGAGCACCAAGGACCACTCCCAAATTCTAACTTCTCACAATGCCACAGGATTCTCCTCTACCAGGAGCATTGTGGGACATAAAAATGGCTACCTCCATCTATGTTAAGAGCCCTTTCCAGTCCTTAAATGGCCCCATTTAGAAATCCCTCCCTTTGGCATTTTGATCCTGTCTTTATCTTCTGAAAGAAACACGAGAGCCAGATGGGCTCAAACCAATGTTGGTTTTGCTCCACCCCAGTCAGACAGTCGCCTCCCTAAAGCCAATAATCAGGGTTTAAGAACAGCAAACTTCCCCTAATCCTGCGAGCATCCCTCAATTGATCGATAAGTCGATCTAAACCCCCGGAGTGCAAATCACAATCTATCAGGATTTTAAGAGGGGATATAAATAGATAAAAAAAAGAATAAATCTCATCTGGGATCACCTGCAATCAAAGGGTTCATGAAACTAAGGCTAACTTTTTTTTTACACTGGTAATTTTACACAATTGGAGAATGATTAACAATACAGGTAGTCCCCAACTTTACGACCACAATTGACCCCAAAATTTCCGTGGCTAAGCGAGACAGCTGTTAAGTTGCCCCGTCTTAGGAGTTGTTAAATGAATGGCTTCCGTTTTTTAAGTTAGTCACACGGTCGTTAAATGAATTTGGCTTCCCTACTGACTTTGCTTGTCAGAAGGTCGCAAAAGGGGATCACGCGACACCCACCCCGCCCCGTTACTGCGACTGTCATAAATACGAGTCAGTGGCCAGGTGTCTGAATTTTGATTGTGTGGGGAAGCTGGGACGGTCGTAACTGTGAAAAACGGTTATAACTCACTTTGTTTTAGTGATGTTATAACTTTGGTCATTAAAATGATGGTTTGCTAGTTGAGAACTACTTATAATAGCCCAGGTATCATTTATAGCCATTTCTCTGCCCTCAATTTCCAGTGTTTGAAAGAAGAAATATCTGAGTAAAATGCCTGTTTTTCAGCTTCTGAACAATGCTGACCCATGCTATTAGAAGGAGACAAAGCTATCAGCCAGAATTTGGAAGCTGTTGTGTACTTGTGGGTTGCTTTGGGTTTTGGGTTCCAGCTGTCACGGACATAGCTGAACGCTGTTGGTGGGACAGGTGTTTGCTGAGCCTGGCTCCCTGGGAATCCGCAACCTCAAAATCTGCAGATTCCAAAGCGAAAGGGAAAATGATAAGGCCTTGGCAAGACTGCTCTTGGCATTTGCATCCAGTTTGGGTCACCATGATATAAAAAAGACTCTGGAAAGAGTGCAAAGAAGAGCAACCAAGATGATGAGGGGGCTGGAGGCTAAAACGTACAAAGAACGGTTGCAGGAACTCGGGATGACTAGTCTAATGAAAAGAAGGACTAGGGGTGACTAGAGTAGAATAGAAATAGGAACATAATAGAATAACAGAGTTGGAAGGGACCCTGGAGGTCTTCTAGTCCAACCCCCTGCTTAGACAGGAAACCCCTACAGCACTTCAGACAAATGGTTATCTAATTTATTCTTAAAACCTTCCAGTGCTGAAGTATTCACAACTTCTTGAGGCAAGTTGTTCCACTGATTAGTTGTTCTAACACTCAGGAAATTTCTCCTTAGTTCTAAGTCGCTTCTCTCCCTGATTAGTTTCTAACCATTGTTTCTTGTCCTGCCCTCAGGTGCTTTGGAGAATAGCTTGACTCTCTCTTCTTTATGGCAAGAGAAGAGAAGAGAAGAGAAGAGAAGAGTCTTACACTTAGGCACGAAAAACCAAAAGTACACATGGACTGGGGTGAAACCAGGCTCAACAGCAGTAGCTGTGAGAGGGATCTTGGAGTCTTAGTGGACAACTAGTTAAATATGAGCCAGCAGTATGCAGCGGCAGCCAAACAAGCCAATGCAATCCTAAATTGTATTAATGGAGGGATACAATCCAGATCAAGGGAGGTACTAATACCAATCTATAAAGTCTTAGGTAAGGCCACACCTAGAGTACTGCAGCCAGTTTTGGTCACCACACTATAAAAAAGATGTTGAAACTCTAGAAAGAGTGCAGAGAAGAAGAGCAACCAGGATGATACGGGGACTTGAGGCTAAAACATATGATGAATGGTTGCAGGAACCGGGCCTGGCTAGTCTAGGGAAGAGAAGGACCAGGGGAGACAGGATAGCCGTCTTCCAATATTTGAGGGGCTGCCACAGAGAGGAGGGAGGGGGTCAGGCTATTTTCCAAAAGTCCAGACAAGGAATAATGGATGGAAATTGATCAAGGAGAGAAATAAGGAGAAATTTTCTGACAGGGAGAACAATCAACCCACGGAACAGAAATTGCCTTCGGAAGTTGTGGGAGCTTCATCACTTTCAAGAAGAAACTGGACTGCCATTTGTCACAAATGGTCTAGGGTCTCCTGCTTGGGCAGGGGGTTGGACTAGATGACCTACAAGGTCCCTTCCAACTGTTAATCTGTAGGAGAAGAGAAGAATGAAAGATAGGATTGGACAGGACAGGATAGGATAGAACAGGTTACAGAATAAAATAGATTACAGGAATGGAATGGAATAGAATAGAATAAAATAATAAAATAAAATAAAATAAAATAAAATAAAATAAAATAAAATAAAA